CTTGAGCCCAGGAGTTGGAGGTTGCTGTGAGCTGTGATGCCACAGCACTCTACCCAGGGGGACAGCTTGAGGCTCTGTCTCAAAAAAAAAAAAAAGACATGGCTGATCTTAAGTACACATGGTTATGGAAAAGCCAGGCTGAAAAGGTCGGTTCCATTAGTGAGATGGTGAACAGATCAGATCTGGGTCATTCTCTTCCTCTTGGGCAGTGATTCTCAACCTTCCTAAGGCTGTAAACTTTAATACAGTTCCTGTGGGCTGTGACCCACAGGTTGAGAATCACTGCTCTTGGGGAATTTCACCACTGCTGTGAATGAAGGTCATGTGACCACTCTGACTCCAGCAGCTGCCACCCCTCCTCCTCAGTTCCCTGCTCCCACATGACTACCCAGGACTGCCTCACATCAGAAGCCTAAGAAGGCTAAGGAACATCTAGTTCTTCCCTTCTCCTGGACCCCTAGATGGGCCAGGCCTCCCCTCTCACCACACTTCAGTGTCTGTGCAGCCCTTTTCCTTGGCATCATTTTTCTTTTAAGAAGACTGATCCCCGATCACTTGTCACTTCCGCCCCTTCTTTGTCAGTATCTTAAGTTTCCTTACCCCTTCGTCCTCCTGAGGTATCGTCTCCTTTGCCAACCCCTAGCTATGGAAGGATCTAACCACTTGTATTCTATGGGCTTCCTCCCAGGCTGCAAAGTGCAGTCAGAAAAAAAAAAATCAACCTTCATGCACAGGGCCACGTTAGAAGTCACAATCTCTATTTCATCAGCACTGGCCTAAGAAGTCTTCTTTCAAGAAAGTCTTTCAAGCTTTCCCCAAACCTGTCAATCTTCTCTCCCACTGCTTTCTCCTGTACCTCCTGTTTCACTGAGAAACAGAAGCTATGACCCTTCTCACACACCGCCTGTGAGCGGGCCCATGACTGCACCTTCCCTTCTGCTGACTTGCCTTTTACATTGGAGAGGCCCCAGGTCTTGGCTTTTCTCACCTGCTCTGAGACTTGTCTTCTTTAAGTATTCCTTCTCTCTCTCTCTTTTTTTTTTTTGAGACTGAGTTCACTCTATTGTCTAGGCTAGGGTGAAGTGGCCTCATCATAGCTCACTGTAGCCTCTAATTCCTGGGCTCAAGTGATCCTCCTGCCTCAGCCTCCTGAGTAGTTAGAACTACAAATATGTGCCACCATACTCAGCTTACTTTTCTTTTAATTTTTTGTGGAGATGAGGCCTTGCTACTGCTAAGCTGGTTCCAAACTCCTAGGTTCAAGTGATCCTCTTGCCTTGGCCTCCTAAAGGGCTAGGATTACAGGTGTGAGCCACCATGCCCAGACTCTCTCTTCATCTTTAACTTTTCCCAATCTACTGATTACTTCCATTTGAAACATGGACATCCCTAAGGCTCTGCCCATTTAAAAGAATGAAGATAGAACCACCTCCCTTGCACTCCTTTGGCCCCTCTAGCCACTCCACTCCCTTCTCCATCTTTCTCTTTGCTACTCTCTCTACGGACACCAGAAAGCCTTTGCTGCTAAACTCAAAGCACTCCTTTCAGCCCGCTCTGGGCTGGCCCATCCTGCAGCATCCCCTCATTCCTGAGCCACTCACATCCAGATGCTGCTTGTTCTGTGGGCTCCTCCCACCCTCAGGCCGCCCATCCCTAAATGTCAGCAATCCTTAGCTTCTCACTGGGGCCTCAGTTTCTCCCTGGATGATCTGTCATTTCCTGGGGCTTCATATGCAGATGACTAAACATTTGCATCTTTAGATCAGATCTTTCCCTGACTTTCCACTCAAATATCCAATTACCTGCTAGGTACTACACCCCACATGGCCAAACCCATCTCCTACTCTCGAAACTGCTCTTCCTTTTATACTCTCTCAAGGATGGCACTGAACAAATACTAGAAGAGGACCTTCTTTTGTTCTTTTCTATCTCCAGGTGCCGTCACTGTCACCAGGTCTCCTTGTACGTACCCAGCGGAGTTCTTCCATCTCAGCCACTCTATGAACAAATCCCAAGGGACTGAGACCCCAGAAGAAGCAGGCAAGCCCCAAGGGGGTGAGCAGAACTACCCACCGGGTTCCTGGGTTGACCACCAGAAGCGGCAAATCTCCTAGGAACCTACTTCCAATCAGCTGATCTTCACATCTCCCTTGTCTTCCCCCAAAACATTTAGATGCTTACTCTGTGCCAGACACTGTCCTAAAGCTCCTCATATGTCATTTCATTTAATCTTCATAATCTGAATAACAATTGTGCACAGGGAGTACCATTATTATTCTCTGTTAAAGACAGGAAACTGAGGCTCAGAGAGGTAATTGCTTTCTTTTCTCTGGAGTCTGATGAGGATTCTTGTTCTCACATATGAAAGGCCTGCTAAGAAAGGACACTACTGAGTTTATCTCAAAGAAATCGGCTGCAAAGGTGAACCAGGCCTGTTCACCAGTTTTGGCCAGTTTTCAAACCAGAGCTCTCAAGGCTATGTCCAGGAGCTGCTGGCCCTCAGAGCGGCTGAAGGTCCAGCAGGAGGACTATTTCCCAGTATTCTGTTTGAAAAAATAGGACTTCACTTCTGGCTCATTTCACCACTTAGTCTGAGCTAGACACAATGCAATTGTTCACAGAAAAATCTACACTGCTTTTGCCAAGCTGACCTGGCATCTGTATGTGAGGCAGATTACATCAGAGGCCCCACAGCTCCTCCTCTGAGAGCTCTGTGGCTGGTCAGAGGTGGAGGGATTGAGCTGGCTTCCAGTCAAATAGTTTTGTTAAGGAAACTATGAATCCCCTGATAGTTTGTGCATACTTTTTTCTTTAAAGACTAAGCTCAGTTGAAAAGGAAAAGATTTTCAAAAGAAAAAAAGTAAGCAAAAGGCTCTGAACCTAAATTTTTAAAACACGTGCACCCCTACCCGAGATGCACCTAAGTCTTTCTTGGCTCCTAATAGATCTCATCTAGTGACAGGTAACACTAAATCCAACCTTGATCTTCAAACTATAAGGTGGGCCCTCTGTGAGGCTCCAGCTGTGCTTGAGGTAGAAGCCTGAGGCTGGAAAAGCCTGGAGAGGGCTGAGCAACAGTGATGCATGGGCCAGGCATTTCCGAGAGGGAAGGCCCAGCTGGAAAGAAGGCCCAGAGGGAACCCAGGCTGCGTCACCCAGGGGGCCAGTCACGCATACTGTTCACCTCTTGGCTACTGTCCTCACTTGAGACCAGAAAAACAAGAATGAAGGAGAAAAACTGTCAATAGCACCATTTAGGGTTTTAATTTAGCCAAAGAGTGCCTTGCCCGGTGCTTTCAACTGAAGATCATGTTCTGACGAGTCTGACTGAGAAATAAGAAGTCCCACACTCTCCTTTGGTCCATGTCTTCAATCGTTATTTCAATAAGGTTCTGGTTGGAGCAAGTCAGTACAAAATAGGATGGGGCCAGTAACTAGGCCATCAAGGATTCAAAGAAATTCAATTCAAAAAGTATTTCCTGAGCCCCTCATTCATTCATTCCACATATGTTGACAGAGGGTCTATTATATGCCTGACAATGGGCAAGGTGGTGTGGACACAGTGATGAACAAGACAGACACGGTGCCTAACCTCACGGTGCTCACGGACTGGCAAGGAAGGTGGAGATGCAGAGTTTACACAAAAGGAGGGCCGACAAACAAGGAACACACAGAGAAGCAAAGGGTATAGTGTGGGAATGTATGGTACGGAGGCCTCACACAAGCTAGGGATTCAGGGAAGGCTCCCAAAGAAATGACACTCAGGCTGAGGTCTGACTGGTAGTTGAACAGGGAGGAAGAATTTGGGGCTCAGAGGACAGCACACACGGGGGCCTGATAAGACAGGAGGAAAGTGCATCAGGCAAGGGAAAGAAGGCCAATACAGCAGTAGCCTGAAGAGGGAGGAGGAAGAACAAGAGATGAGGCCAGAAGGGTGGACAGAAGCCAGATCCACCCCGCCGGACCTTGCAGAGCACCTTGTGGTGTGCAAACTTCAGTGTGAGTGAAATAGGAAGTTCCTGAACTGATTTAAGCACCTGCTTTGTGAAAATGGACTGTGATGGATAGCACAAGAGTGGATAGAGGTGGGGGGGGGGTTCAGGAAAACGGACTGAACCTACAGATGCTTGGAACAGAGCCCTGGTGGGGCTCCTGGTGGGGCTCCTGGCCTACAGGGGCAGCAGACCTCTGTCTGCACAGGCGCATGCAGGGGGGCCTTGCTCACCTGGTTAAACCTCCGGGTGAAGGCCACGACATTGGGGGCAAGACTGTGTTTCTCCTTCTTACTCCATCCACAGCTGGCTAGTTCCTAGGAAGAACAGAGTCAATTTCAACAGTGGTTCTCATCAGGATGCAAAATACACCAGGGGCATATAATTGGAACGTGGAATGGAGGCGGGGTAGTGCTGAAGTCTTGGGTATTCACGTCTTCACCAGGTAGCAGGGGAGAGCTGGCTTTATGGGTGCAGACTGGGACAGCCAGAGATGAGCATGAGAAGTAGGATACGTCCCCCCATAACTCTGGCCATATATCCCAGGATTTCTGTGCCAAAATATTCTCAACTCCACCACTGCCACTCTGCAGAAGTCCTTTCTTACAAGGTGAGTTACCTAAGGGCAGAAATGTTTTAGCCAGCCAAACTCATCCCCCCACAGCTGTGACTCCAGGGCTCCAAGCTAACTTAAAATCTAGCTGAGAAATCTCAGATTTCATTGGTCACAGGCACTGTCCATTCTAGGAGTCAGGCAAAGTCCCAGTACAAGTGCCCACAGCCAGGGAGGTTTCTGGGATTACCTCAGGTTCCTTCCTGCAGTTGCCCCCCACCCCATATAATGAAAAAGGGGCAAAAGGAAAGGTCCCCCTTAACACCTTGTCCAGGGCCTTGTCTCTTCTTTTCCTGTAGGCTTAGGTAATTTGATTTTTCAAATTTTATCTCTAACTGAGACTGGTTCTTATCCAAGGGTGAAAGCTGGACTAGTAGGAGGAATCTAATGGCACTACTTGGTGGTACATAAAAGAACAAAAGCAAAGCCATTATCCAAAATGTCCAGTGCTCGCAGCCTGTGCCTTGAGGAGCCCTGGCAGAGAGTACAGGAAAGGCAGCAGATCCTGCAGTGCTGTACCCCTACGCTATGGGACCTCCTTTTTACTCCTATCAGGCCACATACCTGGAACTTTTATCAGATCTTTAGTAAGAGTAAGCTGCCCTCTAGGTAGAAGAGATGAAGACTGGGGGGTGCTAGGAGGTCAGGGTGGGCAGTGGGGTGACCAAAGACAAATCCTGCTGGTGGGGCAGTTATGTCTGCAGGGCTGTGACTGTCAAATGCACCTCAGGACCCAACTATACACCACAGACGGGTGCTTGCAGGGAGCCTGGCTGAAAGTAACAGGCAGCTCTGGTCACTAGACTAAGGCCCAGGACTTGGGAGTGCACGGGCATGAACAGAAGCTAAGGAACTCCTCTTGCTGGTCACCTTGCTTCTATGAATGGTAGCACTGCCCATGAGAGAACACAACAAACTTGAGTGGCCACATCCTCATAATTTAGACCCCTTAAAAATAGCAATGATGACAATATTCACTGCATGGCAGGCATGGGACAGGGTGCTTCACAGATGTCAACTCATGTAATTCTCCCCACACCCATTTTATCAGAGAGGAAAAAGTTTCAGAAGCACACTGAGTCCCTCTGAGATGCATCAATACCTGTTTACTATGGTTCTTCTTGTTCTGAACATGTATGTTTGCATTTGGTTTCCGATATGTTTGACCCACCTCAGTTATTTGTTACTTTACTCTTTCAAACACATGCATGAATCACTTTGCAAATATATTATTATTGCCATTCTGAAATACGTGAGGACAACAGCCTCTCTCCTCACTGGATCCCAAATCTATCCTGGAAAAATCTGGGTTACAATCAGGTGTAAAACCTCCAACTTATAATATAACTGCTGTTCAAGGACTGGGGTGTGGTTGTTGACCAATTTCAAGCTTATATTTCTCCCTTTGTAACTTTATTTTTTTTTCCTTCTGCATTTTTTTTTATTAAATAGTAACTATGTACATTAATGCACTTCTGGGGTACAGTGTGGGGTTTTCACACATAATCTGAAACACTTCCATCAAACTGGTTAACATAGCCTTCATGTCATTTTCTTGGTTATTGTTTTAAAATGTTCACATTCTACTCTTAGAAAGATTCACTTGTACCTTTGTAAGATAAACCTCAGAAGTGATCCCTCCAATCCTCCTCCCTCCACCCACTCCCCCCCCACCCGTATTCTTAGGCTGTTATTAGGTTATAGCTTTCATATAAAAGGTATAAATTAGTTTCATAATAGGGGTGTGTACATTGGATACTTTTTCTTTCATTCTTGTGATACCCTTTATAACTTTCTTATATTTTTAAATAAACAGAAGAAATTGTGTTGTGTGTGTAACTCAGAGCCTGTGGCCCTACTCCCACACTGTAGTAACAGTCAGACAGACCCTGGCTGTCCACACATAGCTTCATGATGCCTGTCTTCTCAGAGCTTCCATCAGCTCACTATACCGTGTGGATAGACAGTGCATGCGTAGTTTAAAACAGTTTAACATAGTAAAGCACATAGGAACTTTATGTCCACCCTGTATTTATCTGTGAAGCTCATTATAACAATTAAATGAAATTAAAATATGCAAAGCAAAATAAATAAATAAATAACCCCACACAAAGCACCTAGCACCTGACAGCTCTTTGATAGAGATGATCGGCCTTCCTCTCCCAGGGGCACGCGGCTACTGAGCAACAGAGGCAGGATTCCTACTCAGCCCTCACGCCAAACACCTGCCTCTTCCCAGACCGCACTCTGACTGCTGTCTTCAATTATTAACAAAATCTATCATTATTTCTCTTTCATTTCCCTGATGTCTTACAGGGAAGAACCAAAGCCGGCACTAATATTTGTTTTAAACATTTTCAAGATTCTGATTCAAAAACTATGTGTAGTTCTTGAGTTTTGACACTTCCCTAAGGAAACTTTCTCCCTAGAAGACAAGTAACATAAAATTACAACCTCAGCTGAGTAGAACATTATGTCTGAGAGGTACTTTGATAAAACAGAAAGAGAAAAGAACTTCGAGCCAAAACACCTCGAATGCCCATGGTCACTTATTTCCTGGGCAACACCAGGCCAGTTACCTCTTTTTTCTTTTTGAGACAGAGCCTCAAGCTGTCGCCCTGGGTAGAGTGCTGTGGCATCACAGCTCACAGCAACCTCCAACTCCTGGGCTTAAGCGATTCTCTTGTCTCAGCCTCCTAAGTAGCTGGGACTACAGGCGCCCGCCACAACACCTGGCTATTTTTTTTTTTTTTTTTTGGTTGTAGTCATCATTGTTGTTTGGCGGGCCCAGGCTGGATTTGAACCCACCAGCTCTGGTGTATGTGGCTGGTGCCTTAGCCACTTGAGCTACAGGCGGCAGAGCCAACCAGTTACCTCTCTCAGCTTCAGTTTTGACACTGATGAAAATAAGGATTCCGTAACCAGCCCTGAAGAACTGTGGCTGAGACTAAGGGAGGCAAAGCCTGACAAGGGAGGTGACCGGCAGGAGCAGGCCTGGCTGATGGCAGATGCCAAAACAGCCTCTGCTGAATGAATAAAGTGTGAGTGTTTGTCAGGGTTGAAACCTCCAAATTCAGGGCAGAGAGATTTATCAAGATGGGTGAGAAGACAGACCATTCCATCTGCACTGAAACAAGTCCCTGGGCCCGACCTCTTTGGTGCTGTTCCTCTTCTGTGTTTGGACTTATAGGATTACAAGAGGTTCCATCTGTGTGAAGTGGGTTTAGGAAAATGTGAAGTAATAGAACAAAACTCTTCCAGTCACTAATGCGTAAAAAAGGTTCACACTATGGAACTGATTTGAGGGTAATTAAGTTAAAATTGAGTAGCAGAGACAAGGCTAGTTCTAGAGGAGAGACAAAGGTTTGGACTGAGGCCAGTAAGGCCTTAGTAGCTCTGCGTCCTTGGTGTACCACTGAGCTGCCTGTGGGCTACCGCACACCCCTCCCCAGGGCACCGGGGCCCTCATCTCGCACAGGCCATCCTTGGCTCTAACTTCTCTGCTGAGGTCGACTGGATGTGAGAGGGGAGTGAGCCTGTATGGTCCCTTGCCAGATTCTTCTGGGACCTCTCCTCCATCACGTGGATGTTCCTCGGGTTCAACAGGAAAAACAGAAGCTGTGAGAAGAAAACTTCTGCCAGCAAACAAACGTACAAATTCCCTGCCTCCTCTCTCCCCCTCTGACTCTAATGGAAGAGAAGCCATTTCCTCTCCAGGGCCCACTCTCCTCCTGGCCCGATCTCTTCTCAGAGTCCTGGCTCTGATGTCCTCCGTCACCCCTGTATCTTTAGCCTCTTCCTCCCCAGTTTCCCCATCCTACAAGCACTTTAATGCACGTACGCCTAGAAGAAGGAAGAGGAGGAGGGCGAGGCCATGACGCACCTCTCCTAGACCCCCATCCCCTCCAGCTCCTGCTCACTCCTGCTTCCCCCTCCCACACTGCCTTCCTGCCCCTGCCCCTGCCCGTCCCCCACAGGCCCTCGGGTCCTGGCCACATCTGTCACCCACTATCCTCCCCTTTGCACACCATATTCTCCCAGTTGTCCTCCTACCTCGTCGGCCTTATTTCTCAGGTGCTTTTTCTTTTCTGACACATCTCCCAACCCTCCCCCAAATCTGCCCAGGGCCTTCTGCATCCTCTGAGGTCTGCGTTTCTCCCTGGAAGATCCCGCTATACCTATCGCAATGATCTAAGAAAGTACACACAACCCACAGGACCAAGGGCCGGCAAGGGTGCAGAGCAGATGAGCACAGTTGGGTCTGCAAACGGTGTGGCCAAGCGGAAAGGCAGCTCCTTACGAAGATGGGTGTACACTTACCCTTACCAAATGCCCCAGCAGGTAGGCGTTTACCCAATGCGAACAGATGTCCACACAAAAGCTGTCTGTGCATGTTTATGGCAGCTCCATTCTCTGTTTCTCCATACTGGAAATCAGTCAGATTCCCATCAACTAGTGAGGGGGATAAACAAATCCCGGTACAGCCACGTAATCAAATAATACTGAGCAATAAAAAAGGAATAAAGTAGTGATACATGCATCAATGCAGACGAATGCCAAAAGCTTATGCCAAGTGGAAGAAACTAGTCAAAAATATTGTATGATTTCATTTATACGGCATTCTGAAAAAGGCAAAAACTACAGGACAGAAATTAGGTCCTTAGTTGCCAGGGATTGGAGACAGGAGGCAAACTGACCACAGAG